CAGACGGTCCAGCTGTCCCGTAATTCGCGGGCTGTTTAAACGGGAGAATTTGGGCAACGCTTTGTCGGACCGAGAAAAATGGAAATCCTCTGTTTAATCTCGCTTCTCTGCCCTTCCGCGCTGCCCCTCCGCGCACGCTCCGCTCTTGATCGCGCCTCGAGAGCTCCACGACGGATAAAAAGGACTGTCGATGAAAGAGAAAATGGTCTCGGGGGTCCAAGAGGGTTGTCCGCGATTCGACCGCGGGGCATCTGATTGCTGTCACAATGAGCTTATTACCCCTACGAAGCTAGAGAATCCTTAACCGCTAAGTGTCGCTTTAAGGTTACGCTAAATACGCTGCATTCTCTTAGGTACAGTACGGCATCTAACGTGCTAATCGTTTAAGTCCTAACCGCTAAGTGTTCTACACTCCGTCCCAAGGGAGGAGGGGGGTTGGGGGGGCTGAGAAAACGAAAACGTCAATTTCCGGCGCAATCGAAACGGGCAAACGACTCGTTCGACGATACTCGTCCGTGAAGCTTAACGAAAGTCGATCGGTCCTCTTCCAAGAACCCTGAAAAGGAGCGTCTTTCGCTCGATTAAATGAACGCCTCCAAGGGGTGCCTTTGATCCGTCGCGTTTCCAACATTTTCTGACGGAAAAAAGCACGGTTTTACCCCGTCGCAATTAAACGAGAAGGAAACCAAATATAGTTGAAAAACAAAGCCTTAAATATGTCGGGAGTCTACCACTTTTACTTGAAATGTTTCCAAAAATCAAACACGACCACCAACGAAAGAGTGATACCCGGATGATTGGATTACTTTTCGAGGATCAAAGGCGTTCCTTGAAAGCGTAAAAACTACGTTGACCGCGATTGCAAAAATGGTAAAATAGCGATTGGTTATTTTTTTTCTCCCCCTTAAACTCGGTATGTTTTGTGTGTGTTGTTTGTCTCGTGTTTGTTCCTCTCATCGTCCTCCGTTGCTCGTCCTTCCCCCATCGCGTTTCTCTCGTCACTCGGTACGGGTTAATTATTACAAAGATGCTTGTACAATAATATAATATAGACTCTGTATTAGTTACAATAATATCGTAGCGTCCTACCCTCGCGATCGATCGGTCCGTGTCCGCTCGTCCCTCCATTTTCTTTTCTCCCCTCGTCGCACTCGCTCCCGCGAACAATCCGATTGGCCTAACCAATATATAATAGAACATCTCTGGGTACAACGTTCGCGATCCTCCTTCCGGTATAGATCCTCTCTTGAAACGCAACATCTTTCGTGTACACGGTTGAGCCATTGCGTGAGTTTATTGCTTATTGCTTACGTTAACGTAAGCGCCCCGGGGTCCCGAGAAACCGATTCCTACGCCATTCAAAGATTTACTTTCCAACGGACCTCCGTACACAGGCAGAGACGTCTCAACAACTCGTTCGATCTCGTCGATAAATCAAAATCTTCCAAGAAAACCCTAGGTTGGAACTTGAAAGAGACAGGAAGGTTCTAAAACAATTCTCAAGTTGAAATCTTAAATTTTAGCTAAGTTACGAAAGTAAGTACTACGGCAAGTTTTAAGTTACGTAGTTTAAAATGAAGGTTTTGGTTTCGTAAATAATTTTTAAATACAATTTAGAAACGAATCTGACTGAAGTTATAAATATCGTCCATTTTTATTTTCCAATTGGTACGAGCAGAGTTAAAATGAACAAGTTGACCCTCGTGTCTCTCGAAACATTTTTACCCATCGACGGAAGCAAGTTTGTGATTCATGTGCCCCGTCTTAAGCACTCTGTGCAACGTGTCTCGCGAGGTCGAAGCGAGACAGGGTGTCCCGTAAATCTCGCGACATCCTGCTCCTGGCCACGCTCGTTGCAGGGAATCTCGTTTTGATTGGTCGCCGCCGCGGTCAGTCTCCCCCCTCCTCGTTCCCGGCTCTTTAATAAAATATTCCCGCGGTCCCTCTTGTCTCTTGGTCCGAACAAGTGGCCAATTTGTCTCTCGCCTAACCCAGCTTCGACCCCCGGCGATCCTGGGAACAATCGTCCCGGCGGGAATCTTCTCGCGGGACCCCGTCGACGCTCGAGAACCAAAAGGAGAACGGAAAACAACCAAGACACCGTGGGCGAGGAGGAATCAGAGCCGCGAGCCGGAGAGGAACCGAATTTCACTCGGCGCGAACGGCACGGACAGCCCATCACAGTTACAATTTTACACTTTACACGTCCGGCCATTCGACCACCGATTTTTCTCCCTTCATTCCCCTCTTTCTTAACGCTACGAGATCGCCAGAAAGTTTTTACTCAAAAAAACCAGGATCGGAGAACTTATCGATCACAGTGGAAATTTAAATCTGAGATATTGCAAGTATTTGAAGAAACTTTTTATTTAACCGATTTCTCTGATAATCGAAGGGGCGAAAACGTAAGTGCGCTGGGGCTCTGATTCCTTCCCCGTGCATCTTCTCCCATAACTCCCCGACGAATAATCCTACTACACGGTAGATTGTATTGCGTTGAGAATTACCACCTTAAATACTTTGACACACTTCCGCTATACACACACCGTCGGTGTCGATTCAATCTCTCACCCATCACGATCACTCTCCTCCACGGGAACGAACGTTTTACTCGGCAAAGGATTTTCGTGTATTTTTAATAAATCCGCGGCCATCGATCGTTCATCCGGCTCTCGAAACATCGTGGATGCTGTCTTTTCTTTTTTTTTATTGTACGATAGAAAAATAACGCAGGCAACCGGAAGCTTTGAAACGTGTATTTTTTTTTTTTTTCCCTCGCGTTCCGGTCGGTTATTAATACAGCCAGAGGCTATTACAGCTATTATATAATAGCTATGGCGGGGTACGTTCAGCTACAACGCGGCTGATAGCCCTTTGTGGCCATTACATAACAGCTACAGCGCAATCAACCTTTAATACGTCCGCTAATATCTCGCGCGGTAACTGAATCTCGCCGCGGGGCTCGACGGGTTCGACAGAAAACCTGTTGTCGAAACGGCCGTTGCAAAAGCCATCGTTGTTTTCGTAGGATTAAACTTTTGAATATTTAGCCGATTCGAATAGTTAACGCGTTTGACTGTCCGCACGGGCCCGCATGCTGCACGAATATATGCGGGTCGCGGCGATTTTCAGAAAGTCCGACGAATAGAGAACAAACGCACGCCGCACGAAAATTTAACAATCTTTTCAAACAAAACCATTCTACCGACAATTCCCAATCGCAGAAAATGGGCCAGCGCGTCGCAAATCAACGAAAGCGATTCGATTACCTTTTTTCACGGTTTAAGAACACGGAAAACTCGAGACATTTGTTTTTCAAATATTTTTCCTGTTACACAATTTGTCAATTTGATGCACGACTATTTATTTCGACTCGTCGTTTCCTGGTTCCGTTTATCACTGATAACGGGTACGCCTCAGGTAATTTACGAGCGTGTATTGCTTCGACATTTATTTGCAACAATTTAAACCATACTTCGGTATCGAGTCTTTAAAAAATTCCCTCGGGTCAACGATGCGTTAAGTTCACAACCTCGTTTCTCTATTTTCTCTTCCGTTTCGCGCCATTTCGGTGGTTGCGGGACGCCACCGCCAGGCGTCCACGCGCTGGGCGACCACGACCCGCCGCGTCGTAACGGCGATTTACGCCTGTGCTTAAAACAGACACTAGACTATTTATTGCTATGAAAATCTCGTCGTCTCCGAGTCGTATTCCCAGGGACAGTCAACGCGTTAACGGTCTCGTTCGACGAACACCGTTAAAAACGTCGATGGCGGTCCTCGAGGTTTCGAGACGAGCGTACCCTTCTTTCGCTCTTCGATCTCACGCACTATCACACACTCTCTGAAATAGCAATATAATTGTAACTTACAATATACACGGCACGCTCGATCAGGTTCGGTGGAAAACAGAGGGGGTCGTGAAAAGTATTTGCCGAGTAAACAGCTCCACCTCGCGTCTCTTATTAAAGCTATTCTCTATGTAGTTTCTATGCTTAAAAGATAACGACCGTCGTCAGGTCGATCGTCTTACTGGCTATAAACGAGGTGTTGCATTCGTCTGTAATCTCAGGGGTCTCGGGGGAGGAAGGGAGTGGGGGTGGCGTGGGTTCGGGCGAATCGATTCCCCCGGTGCGCAACACGTTCAGCGCGAATCCGATCGATCGTCCTCCGTACGATCCAGCTCCCGCGATATGGTCCTAAACCGTGAGAACTCGCGCAGCGTGCGTCGTCCGTCGGCGTCGGCCGACCTTTTAATTAGCTAGTGCCTACGAGCTACATCGGTAAAAAACCTACTGGCCAGGGGGAATTCGCCGCTCGAGACTCCGCCAGCCTCCCCTTGTGCTCCAGGAACAAACACGGTTCCCTTTCTTCCCCCCCCCCTCTCCGCCCCCCCCCCAGATCGTCGAAGGAACGAACTTCGAGTTTTCGACGCGACTACCACCCTCTCGTGTTTCTCTCCGCGGAAAACGTCCGGCTCGATCGGATCCGGTTCCTCCTCGATCCTCCCTGATTTTCTTCTCCCGTACGAAAGAAATCAGCGTTTTGCCTCCCTCCGTCCCTTTATTACAAACGACTCCAGTACTCGTCCTCGACGAATCGAATCGGAGGGTCGGTGCCCCTCGCCTCCGTCCTCCTCGAGACACGATTTCACGCTGTTCTCGTTTACTTATTCGGCTCTTTCCCCTTTTTTTCTCGTCCCGGGCGGATCGTACGAGCACGAGAGGCTAACAGGAGAGGACGCAAGAGAGTTCCAAGCCAGAGAGAATCGATTGTTCCTTGTTCCTCCTCCTGTCTTCTTTGCCATTGGCCCGGACGCTCGACCGATCTTCTTCGGTGACTCGCGACGAAGGCGATTATATATATAATATATATATATATATATATTTTTTTTTATACACGTGTACCAACCCCTCTCGGTCTTCCGTCACTCACACGGTGTGTCCGATAACGCATGTTACAAACGTCGATTTTAACGGTCGTGAGATCGTCGTCCGTTCGATTAGAATCACCTGTATATCGCGACGATCGCCATCAGGCTGACGATCATCAGGTACGTCGATCGAGCGACGGACGCCCCGTTCTCTTCCATGCATTGACCTGCAAAAAGAAAAACACAAGTCTCTCTTAGACGGTCACAGAAACTGCACTCCACCTGATATTTGGTAATTAATCCTTTTAATGTTACAATATCGAACGGAGTATAAATTTGCTGCAGAAAGGATAGGTTCAAGAATTATTATTACGGACGATTTTGCATCCTGAAACTCCCCGTTTGAAAACTGGCCTCCGAGCCACCAGGGAAAGAAGAAATTACTATTGTTTCGCAAGAGGTCCGGGAACAACGCTGTTCCTTTAATTACTTTCATCCTCGTCTTACTCGTTCATTCTGTAATTAAGAGTACACATCGCGAGCCGGTTCAAACTTTCCAGCAAACAAAGGGAGGATTTGTTGCTTTAAGTCGAAAGTCGCCTGTTAAGTCCGCATTAAAAGCGAAACGTCAGGAAACAACAGATTAGCGTTCGAGAGCGTCGTCCCAAGCACGTCCCTTCGAAATAATTCCATTTCTATGATATTTAAAAATATCTTGCACGATTCTACCCCCGGATCCTTCGCCCGCGAGCACTAATTTCCGACGCAACGGCCGATCGTTGGCGTTTGATCGCGCCAACGAGTTCCACCCAGCAGCAACATTTAATTCGACATTTATCAACGAATTGTCACGGTACATTTGTCAGGAGAAGTCGCCTATGTGTCGCAGTAGATTATGCATAGCTGTCGCGCACCGCTTGCGACGCGAATTCAACTGACGCGTTGGATGACAATTGCTGACGCCAGGCTTTTGATTGGACACTGCAGTCTGTCGTTCTGTCAAACTGCATTGAACGTCTCTCGGAAAATCCGACGACGCTCTTTCACCCCACCCCCTCGACGGGACGTAATAAGTTTCTACCCCCGCGACAGGTGAGTCGAACCGTTACGACTTACGTTTCTCGCGGCGCCATTGAAACACGAAATGAAAATTTCGTCTCGATGAAAGGATCCTTCTCGAAAAAACGCCGGGCAATATCGGCGCTCGAAGTAATTGCGACACGAGGAAAGTGAAAAACATTGGATGGAATCTAAAAAATAGCCAAATATTGACGAAACGACGGAACGAGCGGATTTTTTTTTTTTTTTTTACCAGGAAACGAACATGCATATCCGCCAGGAGAATCGCGCCGTGCGAATCGATACGTTTGATGTTACAGCTTATCGAAATTGAAAATTTCCGTGTTTATCAAAACCCCGCTGGTAAATAACCGGCAAGTTATTTGCTTGTATTGAACGCGCCCGCGTTCGGAGTTTAATCACGCTTCGCGAATCAACTCCTTCAATAAGGGACACGAAATCCACAGCGGGAACGCCGCGGCAAACGAACGGGTCTGGAGTACCGACGGCGGCGGGGAGAAACAAAACTGAAGGATCTTCACTGGAGTGACAAGATAACAGTTAAGGTCCCGAGGACGCTTCAGATTGAAGCACCCGGAGAAAAGTACTGTATATAGTTTGATAACATCAAACGAATTCGAGGTACAAACCGGAGTCGAGCGTATTTTTCCACCGACGAAATTGCAAATAATCTACCCGGAAGCTGTTTCAGACGTACTTTGCGTCCGTCGACAAAGACGCCCACGGGCGATCCGGTCGAATAAACTCGCCGCAACGGAGATTATTAATATATGAAAAATATTCCGACGCGAAGGGACGCGTTCCAATATTTTTCGGGGGGGAAAAAAGATGACGGAATTAACGTCGCCCGCGAACGGAGCAACGGAAAAAATAAATGGTACTCCGTAAGCCTAATGGACGAGGTCGTGGGGGGGAGTAGAAAAAGCACGAGGAATCGAGGAGGCGGCGAGTGGCTGAAAGCTGTCTAATTCCTTCGACAATGGGCTCCCGTTAGGAACGAGGGGGCGGGGTGGGGTCGGGGGCCGAAATCTCGAGACAAAGTGCTCGAACGACGGAACGTTCGCAGCAGTTGCGGAACAAAACCGTTAGGTTCTCGCGAGCGGAGACGCGTCCTCGTCGCGGCAGTCGAGACCTTAAGGATACTCGAGAGCGAAGTGGTCGAAGCAAAGGCAAGGGGGGGGGGAGGGGGAGGGGGCGGGGGTGCGGTACTCACCGGTACTGGTAGCATTGAAGGCCAACATCGGCGGGGGCGGAGGTATTCCTCTTTGGCAAGCCACCTCGCTGGCAGTCAAACTGACAACTCCGCCGCTCTCTTTGTACATGAAGCACAATCTTCGGCTGTTCCTGTAGGGCTGGGGTCTGTTGCTCTCGCCCGTCCAAGTTGTACCGGGCGCCAGTTGGGTGGCGATCACGAATTGGGTGCCCTCGGCGTCGAACCATCTACCGTGGCAGGAGTAAGCTGCGAAACAGAAAGGCACCGGGTCCTTACCGTCTCGACACGGGAACGAACCGGGATAATGGTGGGAGGCATTCTCGAGCCGGTCGTTACCCCTCGAGTGCCATTATCCTCTAAATAAACTTTGACAACCTTCCAAGGGGGGCCCCACGACGAAATAAAAGCCCTTCCGCTAACGACGAACCGGATCTATACCATCTCTATCGTTAATGCGATTTTAATTATCGACGCTTCTCGTCACTCTCCGCCCTTCATAATTCCGACCCGGCGAAACGATGCCTCGAAACGTATCCAATTTTTCCGCGAGCCTTTGCATCCCTATTAGCTACTGGTATCGCGAATTTTCTCTCGACGCTATTGGACTTTTCATTATGGAATTAAAACAATTTTATTCTCGAATTAAAACGTCAAAGGAAATAGGTACCCACAATGGTACCCAGTTTTGGGCGCAGACAACTTATAGTTTTTGAGATATTTAACATTAAAGTTATTAAAGTTATTTTTGACAGACCTTCGAATATATTTTTTTTCTAAAAGTTGAATGTAACCGGGTATTATTCAATTCAGGACTCGAGAACTCTCCTTCTAAGAATTAACAATCCCCAAACCGAGGCTTTGCTACACCCAAGAGGACGTTCTCACGGAACAATAAATTTCGAACGACAAATATTACTCACCTATCGCGTTGTCGTCGACGCAATCGGTTTGAAACTCCATCCTGTCCGCGGTGGAGCATCCTATGGTTATGGTGGTGACCTCCGAGCTGCACCTGGAGATGTCCTCCTCCCTCTTTTCCCTTCTCTCGGAGGAATCGTCCCCGGAATCGAGCTCCTCGACGTCCCTCCTCGTCCTCGACAGATCCTCGTACATCATCTTCCGGTAATACCTGCCCGACCTCTTCTTCGGCAGGTCGGAGCTGTCCGGATAATCTCCGAAATAATCCTCCTGCACCTCGAGGATGCTCGAGCCGTCCGGGTCGTCGAAGTCGGACGTCCAGAACTGCCTGATGCGCGCGAAATCGTCCGCGTCCACCCGGAAGTCCTCCATCTTCGGACTTCTTCTCGACCTGTCGCTCTTCGTCGATCGTTTCTCGACGTCGTGGGCCTTCCTCACGCCGGATCTCGACCACGAACGGTCTCGAAGAAGGTCCTCGATGTCCAGCGACCGCTTCGAGGACGCCTCCTCCAGGCTGTGATGGCCCCTGTTGTTGCGATTCGACCTGGCGCGCCGTCCCATCCGCTCGTGGACGAGGTACTCGTTGTTCGCCCGTCGTTTGTCCGCCTCGAAGTCGAGCTTCCGGCCCCGTCGATCCTCCTGCGTCCGTTCCTGGGCGTGCCGTACTTTTTCCCTGTCCCGTCTGACGCCCTCCTGGTGCTGGTTCCGCCGGCTCTCGCGGATGTTCCGCTGGTTCCGGTTCACCCCGGTCACCGTAAATTTGCCCAAGTACGGGCACGTACGTGGCTCCGGGGAGCTCGCTGAAATTTCAAGAAAATCGCCACGGTGAGATACCCGGGGAAATTCGCGCTGTCGGGGCCAATGGGAATCCCCCCCCGATTAGAATATCGTTTATTTGCGCTCGGACCTGCGTACGTGCCGACTTCCACCATATTTCCATCCAACGGGTTTCCCCAAAAGTGGTGGAAGTCTGTTTTTAATAATAAGTAGGAACTTACGAGTCAATCGATTTTTCACCCACCTCCGATCCTTTAATTTCTGAAAATTTTAAGATAGTAGAACCCTCCAGTTTTATTCTGGAACGTCGTGTTGCGCGAACAGCAGAAAAAGACGGTTTCAGCCCCGGAACAGGTGTTCGTGTATCGAGCGAGGAATAACTTACCCAGACACAGGGGCCACCTTCTGAATTGATTAAAGTCTATTTCCGTATTTCAGGAAGCCAACGCCTCGATAAACGATCTATGTACATATAAACTCCCCGGTCCGGGGACTCCTCAAACACAGATACTCGCGAAGTTACCAAGAGACATCTCAACCGGAGATCAGCTGAATTACAAATTACCTGCTCTAAGTACACCAAGTGGAATCAACAAGAAACTTTCGACGGTGTCTATCGATCTTAACTAACGACGCCTTCTTGCCCGGAGATCGATCGCCTCGACGGAGAATCGGTTCAACGTCCAAGAAATTCACGGCTTTTCGTCCAACTTCGATCGTCGATTAGCATGCGAAATATCTTGGGGAACCGAGGGAAGAGAATGCGAAGCAGTAATTGCAACCCTCTGCTTCAGAGTCAACTTTTCTCGAGCACGTTCGAAGATACGAGAGACCTAAGATCAGCTTGTGGAATCGATGGGGTGGAGTTCCTCAATTTTCTAACGGTTTTTTGGGCGGTGCAAAGTACAGTGTACAGGGGGGTCGATCGCGTTGTGGCTTTAATGGATGCTCGTTAGATACCGAGATGGATAAAGAAAGGGGGGTCCAAGGGTACGCGGGAGGAACGAGGAGGGAAGTCGAGCTACTATAACGAGAGAGCGTAAATCGGCCATAGGCAGGCACAATGCGAACTCTAACGAGACAAATCTGACGTCGCACCCTCGGGCCAGTTCCTCTTTCCCTCTGCTTAGCGACAACCCCTTTCTACCGGCGACTCTCGCCTATCTTCCCGATGCTTCGCGACAGAATATCCCCGGGTTTTCCGTCTTCCTTTCTCGTTGTCTCGGGACCGCGGTATTATTTTCGGGCTTAATGAGGCGGCTGCAGCTAGGCAAGAATCCAGGATGCTAAACAAACACCACGGACGTGACAGAATACTCGCTAAACTTTCCCCCCAGAGCCTCCCCAGCATTGTTCGACGGGCAGCATCGATTTTTCGAAAGCTTCGGGGTGACTTTCCGTCTGCAGATTTTCTGGATTCTCCTCGCGAGATGTTTACTCGATAACAGCCAGTTACATCGGGATTAGCATACGTGTCGTTAACGAGTCTAAGAACAGGGTTTACGAAGGGGTAGAAAACGGAAATAGACGTGGCTTTTGGGAAGATGAGAGCATCTGGATCAGACACATTTGGATCAGTCTGGTAGAAAGAGGGACGAATGTTCTCAGGCACTGTCCAAATGATCATCGATTACATTATTGTATCGTTTCTGTATACCATATATTTGATTTAATAAATTTCTAATTTATTCGTCAAGTGCGTCGGAGTTTATTATTTCGTATCCCGACCTCATCAACACAGTCTAACGATCAAATTTTAGCATTTACAAATCCCGTGGCATCGCCATTTGTTCCTGGTCGTCGTAAGGTCTTTGTCCGTCGAGGAAAAATTGATTCCGAGAGGGCTGACCAGAAAAATCTCGTTATTTTTATGGTTAATTAAACATGTATTGCGTCGGACCAAAGGCGAGTCCGGGCAAAGGAGACTCGATTTTTCCGACTCGTTAGGCGATTCCCGATACAAACGTCCTGGCCAAAGGGACGACGGTCTAAGGGCGAGATCCAGGCGTCCACCCTTCGAAGGAGAGCCCGGCGATTCTCTCGCTCCCTCTTTATGTTTCGATCGAGAGAACAAATCGTGAACTTCGACGATCGTTAATTACGTTCGACGGGCGAAACTTTTGACAATGTATTGCGGATTTCAATGGCAAAGTAGCAGGGAGTTCGACGAGCGGTCCCCCCCTGCCCCAACTTTATACTTTTCGTCCAATTTCACCGAGCTTTGTTACGCCCGCGACGTAAAATATTTTACTTAACGTAACCGAGACTTATTCGTAATTGCTTTCTTGCTTCGCGCTTGTTCAAACGAAGCCACGACGGCGATAATATTTGTGCGATCAAATTTAAATATTCCTTTCGTCGTTCGAACAAGTATCCATGTTGCGATATAGAAACAAATTCTTTCCGCCTCGAGAGAAGTTATGAAAATTACATTTTTATTCCTAGAACGCGGAATTGGCAGTTTCTTTCCGTTTAGCATGCAAATTACAAGTAACCCTCCGTTTGATTTCTAATTTCGCCCCCCGCCCCCCGAGTTCGTAATCGTAACACCGTCGTTTCGATTTTGCGACCGTTTGGCGTGCAAATAAATATGAGTATAGAAACGCGCGGTAACGTCGAATTACGAGTTCGTGGGTCGTTCCCTCGGCGAATCAAAAGTTGCCGGGACAATTATATCGAATTGACGGTCGCTTGGCGCGAATCGCGTGTCGATGCCATTTTGAAGGGGGCGAAAGGAAACAGAAAGAGGCACGCTATGCGCTATCCGCGGATCAAGCACGGCTCCTCGACACGGCACTTCGAACTTTTTAATTAATCAATCGGCCCCATCACCCCCGTGCCCCTCCCCGTACGACTTCTTTGTTACGCGAGAACGAAATGGCCGACCGCGGCGGGGTCTAATCGATCGCGAAAATTTTCCACTTTCGGCGTTGTACATCGCTCGATCCACGTTTGTTCCTTTCCCTTCGTCGCGAAATTTAATTACGCGATATTGGGTACCCATCGGGACACTTTTTGCCACGATGACCCCCTCCAGACCGTCGGAAAACGCGGAATGAAATTTTTTTCCCCGCCACGAGAAACCTAGCCGCGATTTAACGTCGACGAGGAAAAAAATAAACTGACTAGTAAATATAATAGATAGGAAATAACCCGGGTGGTTGACGATCTCGAGGTCGACGGACCTTCCAGGCAAAAGGATTTAAAAAATAATAGGATACCCCGGGCGAAGAAAACGTGACGCTGCAGAATATCACAATACGTTATAGAACACCTTCGCGGCGGTCCAAATAAATCGCGTTAAAGAGCAAACGCATTATTTACCGAGCCACCGGAAAGGAACGATAAATATCCAGGTTCCTCTCCTTCGAATGCCCGAGGGAATAAATCAGTCGTGGCGTAGGTACATTTAACAATCGTCAGCTCGCGCTCCGTTCGTTTCTTCCGGGAAGAAATCACTGCGGGGGTGGTTTACCCCGTGGTGGGGCGGGACGCTGCGAGCGAAAAAGGACACGATAGAATGGCACGCCAATTATCTTTCGCGCGAGTCCGGGGGTCGAAGCTTTCTTTGTTTCGTTCGCCCGGAAATGACGCCTCGATTCTCGGCAGAGCGATAAATTTCCAGCGGAAATAACTTTTGGCAGCGAGAGAGGGGGGGGGGGCGGGGAACGTGTACCGCCCTCGACGAAATAGGGACGACGGTTCCCCGAAGGGGAAACAACGACGACCTCCCGAAGGATATCCTACCCCTCGTCGCGAGTCGAGCACTGACCGTTTCGAGGGGCAGTTAACCCTCTCGATTTTCGTTCGAAAAAATTAAGGGTTGCCTTCGTTAACTCGTAGTACTTCTAGCAAAGAAATTTAAAACTCTTGAGAGATGAACAAATACCTGTAAATAACATGTGACTTTTAAATAACAGAATAAAAAATTGAATGCAATCTTGTGCATTGGTTGTATAATAGATGAACAAGTAGAGATAAGGAATTTCGATTCGCGTAGGTTCCGGGGAACGGTAGTGGCCGGAGAATGTGTTCGCGCGAATCCGTGGAACACTCTTCGCGGAATAAAGGCGTGTAAAAATATTTATGGGACACCGAGGAAAATATTTGATGGCAGGCGAATGCGCGGGGCGTTTATTAAATATTTATCCCCGTCGCGGAAAACATTTTCCTTTGCTCCGCGTAAATTCCCTCGCCCGACCGACACACCCCCCCTCGCGCCCCCGTTGATTCTCGCCCCTACGAACTTCCTGTTTTCCCCGGCCACGAAGACGCAACGTTTGGAAATGGTTTCTCTCTCCCCCGTCGGCTGGAATTGGATTTTAATTCGCATTAACTTCCCACCGAGGACACCCAGGGATTGATTTTTCTCCTCTTTGATTTCGCTCCAACGAATGCGACCAATATTTTCGCTCAGCCCCCCCGGCCACCTTCGACTTCGAACTTCTTTATTCTTTCGCATCTTTCCACCACGTTTCCCTTTCGTTTTTTCCCTACCGCCGTTCCTTCCGCCTCCCTTTTTTCCCCTATTTTCTTCGAGCAACTACGACGGGGCACCCGCCCGGTAATTCCGCTCCCCGATGAAAGAAAAGCTTTGTCATCCGCTCTTATTTTCCGAGTTAATGGATTGTTGCGCCTCGCGATAATGGACAATATTTCCCTGCAAACGAATCGCCTTTAATATTATAATTCTCGAACCTCCTGTTCCAGCCTCCGGAAGTCTCTCGCGAGTATTTGCAATCCCTCTGCAGCGATTCTTAATTTTTTACAACCAACTAAATGTTCCAAAAACGTGTAATTCGATAGTTGAAACACAGACGAGGTATACGAGTGGACACACTCGTATGTAAATTTGCAGTAAAGAATTTTTTTCTCGAAAGTGTGTAGGATTTCGGGGGTATGTATATTCACCAAAAATGATTGTAAGTAACCCCTCTAGCTAAAACTAATTTTTTTAGAAGGATTTGAAATTTTTTTTTTCGCTGAAAAATTCACACCTACACGAATTTTTTTCTCGAAAGTG